CATAGAGCCGCCTCAGCGCGCGCGCGAGATGCGGGCTCCCCGACCGCCCTTTGCCAACAGCGAGGGCTAGAGTCAAGTTGTCAACGAGGCATAACATGCGATGATGGTGGACTCCGAGGGTCCTCGAGGCATGGTGAATGCTGAACCCCAGGGCCTCGGCCTCATACTGCAAAATATCACACCCAAGCCGCGTGTGCCTGCTCGAGTGGATCGTCTTCCAGCCGTCGAACCCAAAGACAGCCTCGGGAACCTCCAAGAAGCTAGACGTAGCCGACGACGACACAACAGCAGCAGAGAGCGGGGCGGCAGGAGGAGCACGGTCGGCGGCATCCTGGTGGGGCTCTACGGGGCTGAAGGCGTGGGCCCTCGCGAGCACACTGGAGCCCTGGTGGTACCTCCACTTCTCGGCCACGCGGCCAACCTCCGAGACCAGGTCGGGGGGGATCACCTTGACGCACACGCCCTTCCCGTACGTCGACGCGTCGGACGCGTAGACCCTATACGACCACCTGGACCTAGTAGAGGCGCTCCAGAGGGGGATCAAGGCAACTGCGGCTCGAAGTTCCCTAACAACGGACTCCCAACGAGGCGCGGGTTGAGCGCCCGCCACGTTGATGAACCTATAGACTGAGTTGAAGATCGCCAAGACATCCCGCCTCAAGATCATACCCCAAGTACAGTGGCCCACCAGCACGCTGAGAGCCCCCGCAGAGGCCCGACCACGTCGTATGAGTCCGAGTACAGCCTGCCGCGTATGCGCGAGGCGATCGGGCCGAACTCGAACGACACCCGAGAGACCGTCAATCTGCAAGCCCGTGAAGACACCCTTACTGACGGCCTCCGAGAACTCCAGGACAGGCATGCCTCGGGACGTTAGAAGGTCGGCGACCTCACGAGCACGGCGAGTGGCAATCTCATGGCTTTTTGACACAACGCAGAAATTGTCAACGTATCCAGCACATATGGCGTCGGTGTGAGAGATTAGCTTACGGGGGCATCCTCCGTCCACGATCATGTCACCACTGTCGAATCCAGCGTCGTTAAGGCACGAACGAGGACGCTCTGACAAAAGTGAAGGGCCCAGCTCCAACCCATGGGAACAACTGTGACCAACGGCTGCGCAAAATCGTGGATACCGACGGGCCCCCCATTAATCGATGTGAGGCCGATGTGACGATTGGAGATCGCGGGCAGCGAGAACAGCGACTCCATCCCTGGCGGCAGGCGCAAGTGGTAGAAGGCACATTGAATATCGCCTTGTGCAAAAACGAAGCTGTCGTCGCAACCGACACTGGCCCACGCGCTGGGCGTGGGAAGCTTGGTGGCTAGCGGCGTGACAAAGCTGCAGTTAGCCAGCCTAGTGTCGAACACGAGCCTAAGCATGTGATTGGATTTCTCCACGAAGAATAAACCGATTGTGTGAGAAGGCTGAGCACTGGCGGCCCCCCATGATATCATGTCGTGAGCCCCCAGCTGCTTCAAAAACTGGGCGTAAGACTTAGGCTGATAGCGAAGCTCGGTATCGACGCACGGGCGCTGAATGCCCAGCGCGTCGCGGAGCTCCGCAGCAACCGACTCGGAATTCAGCATAGTCTGCCTCCAACCCTGCAGCACGATGGAGTCGGCATCCGGGACGACGTCGGAGGTGGACACAGCCTTCGTCGACTTGGGCCAGGCCGCGAGAGGCTGGCTGTAGGGGCGGACCCGACCGCTGTCACCAGCGCAGCCAGGAGCCTGAGCGAGCATCTCTACCAGGAATGCTTCGCAGGCGCTGCTCCTCTCCGAGTAGGCGGCAGGCAGCTCGAACTCCCGATACAGGCTCGAAGAGGTAGTCCACCGAGGCAGCCTGCACGGCGGGCGGGTCGCCACCGACCTGCGGGAGGTGCTCCGCGTCGCGGCCGCTATGGAGCCAGTTGAGAGCGGTGAACCCCTCGTTGCACCACTCGCGCCAGCCCGCACCTTTGGCAGCGCGCAGACGAGCAGCACGGCCCAGCGGAAGATGGCGGCGCCCATCCACGGGAAGATGAGGTAGCGGAAAAACGTCGCGCTGGCGATCGGCACCACGTGTGGGCGCGTCCAGACCAGGCGGAGGCACGAGGGCCTCTGGGCAATCCTGGCCAGGCTCACGAGCGATGGGAACAGGCTCGTGAGGCCCGTCCTGGCCAGGGTCCTGAGGGGGTGTCATGGCGCCCGCAAGGCTCGCTCCTCACGGGCCTTGCGGCGTTCTTTCGCGACAGCTGCCTCCATCTTCATCTGATCGGCGATCCAATCCATCAAAGCAGGACAGATGCACAAGTTCCCCTTCGTCTCTTCCGCGCCGAGGAAGTGGCCGACCTCTGAACCGAAGTCCGCAGCCGCGAGCTCCTTGGCCTGAGCCTTGGCCTTCGGCACGGGCTGGCCCCTGCGTGCGCGCTCCTCGAACACGCGCTCCTCTACCAACTGAAGCTGGCGGGCGAGGTACTCGTAAGAGGCCAGCTCGCATATCACCAGCTGGTCGTGG